ATTATTAAATCAAAAATAATTTCATAGTTTTTTTATTATACGATTTGCCAAAAATAATTTCATGTATTATTTCGATGGATTAATTAATTTCAGCTTCCCAGAAGAAAAAAATCAAAATGAAAATTCAGTCCATCTTAATGAAATAAATTCATTTTGAGTTAAACCATGAAAAATTGAATAAAATCGAAAGGCAAAATATCAAGGCCCATTCAGCAAAGCATCGCTATTGGTCGCGGCCCCTGTTTCCATCTCTAGCTGCAGCTAGAATTGAGCAAGCAGTTGTGCCTTGTACCAATGACGTCATTCTCAGCAGATTCAAGATGGCGATCGCGTGTGTTCGCCAGGCAAAATCGGTTAGCGGCCGCGAGCAGGACCGGTTTTCGACGGGGGGCGGGACCCGGACTCGGTCGGCTCGTTTATCCGCACGGTTTCGTCGTTTTGCGGCCGAAATGTAGAAGCTGCGAAACCTCCACGGACCTCCCCAGCGCGTCGTGTTCTGTATAATAGCGAGGCACGCACACGGATTATTCGACGGCTCGATTGCAAGGCAACCAACCAGTGTTGGAGCAACTGGATCGTTTTTCCAGATTGTACCATCTTTCGATAAACACCTAACACTCATTGTTAGTGAAAGTAATTTAATCCTTACGCACGAACAACTTTCCTTACTAGTATTTTCTTACATCTGCGTTAAATTGACGAATATGTCAATCGTTATCGACAGTAGATACACGATCTATATGAAAGTAACAATTATGTATGTAAAAGAAACAGCCACATTTTTTTCAAGAAAGTGAAAACCAAAAGTGCAAGCAACATGGAAAATATTCGAATCATTGGCAGCAAGGAATTACAAAGAATGAAATGAAAAAGAAGAAAGAAAAAGACAATGACGTTTAATGATCACGCGGAGGCGTGCTAAGTGTCAAAGAATTCGATAAAAAAAACTTACGACGACAGAGTATACTATATGTGTGTAAACTTTTCGATCTACGTAGGTGTCACGATGCCGTCATCCGCGAGGACAAATCTCCTTTTTTTTCTACAGCGACAAATCGAATCAACGTGTGCACGCAGCCGTGTCGAGGCCGAATTGCTATATCTATTATATTCACTTCTATTCCACTTTATAGATTTATATATATTTTTCACTATCTTTCACTAGTTATGTATACGAGATGAACAAAGATAAACGAATCAAATGAATATAACATAATCAAAAATACTATTTTAGCTGAAAGCAACAAACTTACGATAGAATCACAGAATTGTTTTGTATATATATGAAGCGTAACAGGTAGTTTCTCGTACCTTGTCTAGTTGGATCAGTTGTAATGCGCGAGGATGCGATTCTATGGCACTCGCGAGGCTCTCGGAGCGGGCGGTACACTCCTGAATCAAGGAGTTTGCACGCGCAGGTAAATGTCGTCCAACGCGATCGCGCGGCCGCAACTGAACTCACTTTCCAGAGGCGGCGTTTTACCTGCGACAGGGGAGACCTCTTAACACAGCCAGTTCGAGCGGTTCTTCTCTCAACACCCTCTCTCTTTCTTACTTTCGGTCTCTGCGTATACACGCATACACGCGAATCATGTTCATATATACACAGAGATCGCGTTTTGCACAAGCACATAGCATGCACCATTGGTTCCTTACGACTATCCTTCCTGCCTACCTAACCACCCACCTATTTACGCCTGCGAGTGCGTGGCCTTATGTCGTACTACAGGACTTCACAGAACTACTTTTGCTCCTGCTTCTCTACGCTTACTCTTTCAAAATTTTGCTGTTAGGATTTTGGATCGCAAGCTTGAATTTAATTCAGAATAACGAGAGTTTTTAAGTTGCAAGTTAAGATTATTTCGTTTTATAGAATGTAGCGTGATAGAAATATAATATAATAAAAAATTTCTAAATCTTATCAAATTTTTTATTTTTACGTATATAATCTCATATATTTTCATCAATTTTCACAAAAATAAAATTGTACAAAAATATTTTCGTATAAAATAATCATTATATTTACCATTTCCATCTTCAAACACAAAGTTATTATCTAATTATTGTAATCATAATATTATCCTCGTCTATTTTATATGAATATTATATTTCTTTATATTTATAAAGATGAATTTCAACGATAACTTTCATAACCATAATATCACTTCATAACCAATATCATATATAAAATCATACCTCCATAATTCACATCAATTGTGAGAAAAAAAATTTTAACTATGAATGATAATATGTACAAAGTTCAACGTCTTCAAAATGAAGATTTGTGTTATTCTTTGAGCACTTGCGAGTAGACTTCAAACACGCTACGATTTTTCCTTTTTGAATCTTTCAGATCCATATTCTCAGTCAGTCTTGTTCATTGTCGCTGCTCTCTGTGTCCGGTTTTGCATACAACCGTAAATGGCAAGCTGAAGACCTTGGACACCCACATCCAAACTTTTCTTCTTTTTCTATCTCTTGTAATTTTCTTATCTCTCTTCGATAAAAAAAATAAATAAATAAAATTAATACTATAATTTCTTATAATGCAATTATAAAAATAAAAAAAATTATAAGTGAAATATTATGTGAATATAAAGTTAGGTTAACTTTAATAGGTTAACTTTCTACCGATCATATGAAAAAATGTTTTTTTTTTTTAAAAAAGTGAAGAGGAAAAAAGTAAGAATGAAAAAAAAGAAAAATCGAATAACAGGATTTCAAGAAGGAAGAAAAAAATGATTAGGATGTAATTGATACGAAGAATTATCAGCACAGCAGCGGTGGACAGTGAAAGGATATAAAGGATCTTTTAAATGCCAGTGCTCTCGATCAGATTACGCAGAAGGAACGTGCGTTCACCTCCACGTCCTTTTTCAGAGACTGCCGTGTTTCACGACTGTTGCATGGAATCGATGGACCGGTTGGCCAGTACTTGGGTCCTTCTTGACCACGTATTTCCGAATAAGGCCAATCATACACACTTCATCATCTTTTCGAATTTTTACATGTGAAAACGTTATTACGCATTTGAAAAAGCAAAGATAACGAACTGAAGCAAGTTTATGATGAAAACAAAACATCTGCACTTTCTTATTCAATAATTTGTCAAGTAAATACATAATAATGATTAAACTGTTTTTTATATTTTTGAAATTCGCGCGCGAATTTAATTAGAAATAGTACGTCTATCTCTTTTCAATTCGTTTAAGTTCGGCTAGACTCGTCCGAATTCGTATTCAATCCTATTCATATCCTTATAGTTGAAATAATGTAATAAATATTATTGTTGCGAAGTTTTATGTATGTAATTTTAAGTATGTAATTTTTCTTTTAATAATGCGAATCTAATAATAATAAATCTTTTTTTTTTAATTCTGTTAAATAAACATGTTTTGTGCGTCACAAGAGATGTTTTTTCAATTTTTTCCTTACATAATATTTGCTTTCGTTACTCGTTTATCTTAATAAATGATTTGACAAATTGTAGATTATATTTTTTTTTTTCGTACTAAATTTTATAAAATTAATTATCTATCTATATTTTACAATATTTTCATCGATCTTTTATAATTTTAAAAGGAATTTCATGTATTTAATGTATTTTTAAAAATATTTGCGATAATAAATTAAAATCAGACTATCTATATACAAAATAGAGCATGCATAACTGAAACTACTTCAATTCCGCAAGTAATAATTTTAATGAAAATCAATTAGGATGAATGTTATTTAATTTGAAGAAAATTTGCATTATTCGATTTTTCAATCGTGATTTTTAAAACAAATTAGGTTTTGTTTTTACACATATAATGAATATTGTGAATGAAAAAAATTCTCATTCAATAACAAAATTCCTATATTTCACAGACGTAATCATTTTCTTGTTATATCTTCAAAGATACAAACAATTTATAACAGGATTTGTGATAAACATTTTTTTGTTCTTTCAATATGATAAATTATATTTATTAAATTATCTTTTAAATAAAAATACATTTATTTTTCACGAATTGTCGGTAAAAGTTATTCTCGCGAATTCGTTTTATGTTAGCACAGTCTTTGCAATAGAAAAATATATAGTACATTTTCTCATTGCAGAATCTTCCTATATAATATATTAAGTTGTTGCATATAAAATGGCTCCAGCAAATTTTTCAGAGTTGATAATGATTAAATATTTCATTAAATATTATTTATTTTAGAATTTCACTGTTTCAAATATTTCATTTTTAATTAAATTATATATTAATAAGAATCAGATCAAAATTAATTTTGAAAATATTTCCATATAAGTTTAATTTTGAAGCTATTCAGAATATTAATTTAACCTCAAAAATGAAAAATTTTTTTTCTTTGATTTCAATTTCTATATATCAATAGATATTATTTTCAGTAAAATTTTAATTATTTTATATTTTATTGCAAAAATTTGATCACATCTATAATAACCTAATACGTAACACGTGGTTCATGAGAAAATGGCGGAGTTCCAATCTGCCGGCTTTCAACGTAACTGTACTTACGAGGTAGAACACTTTAGGTGAAAGGAATATATACTTTTATTTTCATTTCTAACAAGATACTAGGAATTTCAATATAATAAAAAACCATTTTCTCGTCTTACATTCTTATTTCATTGTAAGAAACTAATTTTTTAGTTGGTTGGTCAATTGTAAAAGTGGTCCATGAAACTCTATCTTTCTATATCTCTTTCTCATATAAATCTATATCTCTTTCTCAAATATAATATCATTATAATTTCGTCGATTTTTCTTTTTTATTATTCTATCTTTTCAATTTATAAAATTCGAGTGTGACATATGGTAAATGCTTGAAAAATTTAAAATCATCGTAAGGCACGCTGGTAATTTGTCTTTTACGCGATGATTAATACAAATTTCTTTCGTTGGTATGCGCAACGTTCATAAAAATAATTCACAAATAACACTCGAACCGTATCGAAGATACAAGGAAGCAAAACACGCGATTCCAGTAGCGGATATAAAACGATCCGTTCTATTTTGTCGCATGTCCTTGAATCTCCACCTTTGGCATCCTTTGCACTTATATTTTTCAGTGAAAAATATTCTCGTCGTCTCAAGAATCGTGTTCGTTTCCATAGCTCTCCGAGGCAATCTGCAAGATTGAAAAAATATTAGATATATATATATATATATTTATTTGTAATTTATATATAGTTATTTTATTTGCAAATCATTTAATATAATATTATAATAATTTTAATAATTGAATTATTAGAGCAACATATATCATCTTTGTGAATCGTTCGAAATCTCATAATATCTGCCTCCTAATTTGAAACTTGGAATAAACGAAACTTGTTACGCGCCAACCTAACCTAACTATATGCAGAGTGCAATATCGATTTGCCTGTTGCGCGTCGATGGACAAATATACCATCCGCATTCTTTCCTTTTACAACTGATGTTTTGCATGCGTCGCTTTTAAGATGATGCTGTTATTTCGAACCGAAACTCAACAGAACAGAGCCTCTCTTGCATGGCTGGCTGTTAAATGGCCGAAAATAGGAGGACGCGTTAATGTCCAAAGCTTGTTGCCGTCAAATTTATGCCTCTTGCAAGTTTATGCAAGCAAGTCTGTATAGGGGATATCAGCCACAAGTGGTCGTATGACGCCACACACATTCAGAGGTTTTTTACAAATATATAGACAATTCGGAGAAAATTCATATACACATAGAGTGATATATTTTAATCATAATCTCTCTTTGAATATGTTTGAGAATACTATTTATATAAAAATATATTTCAAATGAAAATTGTACGATTTTAGAAAATAAATATTCTGATATAATAAGATTTTGAAAAATTTTTCAATTAGTCTCGATTTTTCATTTCTCATAAGAGTATAATATAAAATAAAAATAGATTTTTATTTTATTTTAATTTTTTCATTCCTTTTTTCATTTTATTTCTTTCTTTTTTTTTCTTTTTATTATTTTTTTAGGAAATAAAATTTTAATAAATTTCAATTTCTGAAAATTTATAAACTCATATTTAATTGACCGATATTCAATAGCCATTTTTTAGTTATGCACGTATAATCAAAGGCTCTTGCATTTTTTTTTTTTTTTATAACAAGAACAATGTTTATATATAGAAATATATCCTGTTTTTAACGAGGAAATTTTGAAAGCGCACAAAAGCACTTAAAATGAGGAAAAAATGTTCGTACAAGCACGGGCACACGTTTACAATAATTCCTGAAATGCAGCAACGTTAGTATTGTTAATTCGTGGTTACAGTGTCTTTGATTAACACAGTACAAAAGAATATTAAGATTTTTGTAAAACAAAAATTTATTACTTTAAACAAATATTGCTTCTAGATCGATATTTAAATTTATTTACATATTTTCTTATGATCAGCGTTTTAAAAATTCCACATTAAAGTTAGAATGATGATTTTTTTCGTCCATTTTTATTACATAATAATTTTATATGAAAATTTAAAGAATGTTAATCAAAAAAAAAAAAAATATTAACGAAAAAATTTTTCTCATTACTCACTTCGATCAGGCTTCCTGTAGTTCTCCTTTGATCCCGGGCACACTGTGATGGTGTCTTGAGGCAAGCTTATTCGCGAGCTCGTGCATCACATCTCTGTATATCACTGTGTCTAAATTCTCGCCGAGCATGTAGAGAAGAAACCAATCACCGACCTTGCTCCGCCGAACTATCGTTTCTACGGCCTCTTTTCTGACTAAACGAAATCGTAATCGTAGAAGATATACCCTCGTTCGTGGCGAAAATATAATTACGATCTAAAAAAAAAAAAAGAAAATAATAAAAATTAAAAAAAAAAACTAAACGAATATAAAAAAAAATAACATAATAAATTGTGCAATAAAAAAAAGAGAAAATATTTCGTTTACTTGAGTATACATTTTAAAAAGAAGATTAAGATAAATATATATATGTTTAAAGAGAAAAAAGTAGGTTTCAATCATTTTTTTAAAAAAAGAATGTTATAAATTATTGAAGATACTTAATTAAATATCATGATGATAATAATTATATTGTACAAAAAAGAAAATTAAACAAATATTTCCGCGGTTTTCCATTTTAATTTTTCTGAAAAGAAAGCTATTAATATATAATAGTAGATTAATATATTAATAATAAGTTTAAAGCTACTTTAGATATTTACAGAAATATATAAATTATAAATTTTGTTTTGAAATTTCTTAATCTCTGTTCATTATTTCCAAATTGAACAAGATTATCTCTTAACAATAAAAATTTAGAATAAAATTTACAATAGATTTTTTTCAATTTATTTATTATATTTATAAGACAACAAAATTATAATTATAAAATCTCAAATCTTAAAGTAATCAATTTGAAAAGAAGTTTAAAAACAACATTTAAAATGGAAATTTACTTAAAAATATATATATATATATTTACCCTGTATAAAACCGTGATGAAACTAAGCACGCCGAGAAAGAGGAACCAAAACCATAGAAAAACATATATTTTTTCGTTGACAACATTCAAGGGCAGTATGCAAACGGCGTCATGCCTTTCGACTTCACCGCTTACGCCATATTTGTAGAAGGTGCATTTAGTCATCCGCGGGAACACATAAATCATAGGATCGACCCGGTCTTCTTGATCCGATTCGAGAAACCTGAGCACGTCGATACCAAACGTCAAAAACGCACCATCGAAGAATCGGTTCATTAGAAACATCTGACCTGCGCAAATTCAAATATTTCTTACAATTTCTATTCGTTTATTCTTTCTAAATTAAATATAATATTTATTCGTTATAAATTATCTATGATCACCAAGAGATACGAAGTCTCAAGTCTCGGATTCATCTTTGCTGACATCGAATATAGAAAGTGATAGCGGACGAAAGACGAAAAAGAATTGAGCGTTTAAAACGTTCGTAAAAAAAATTTACGATCTATTGTTTCAATATGAAATCATTCAAGAGGGATTCCTCTTTTTCTTAATAATAACTTGAATGACTCGCGAGTATATATTCACGAGAAATGATCAACTATATAAGGAATAAATATAATGTAAATATAATAGATATCTAACTTAACCTAATTTAACCTCTATTTCGGTATCAGCGCTTTTATATATTCGAAAGAATTAGAAAAAATTCATTAAAATAATGAATTTTACATTTTTTTTTTGTTATTATATAAAAATTTGTCTGAGATTGAGAATTTTGTAATAGAAGTGGAACATGTCCAACAGTTTTTCAGGAATATGTACATATATATATATATTCAAGTATCCTTTGATCTGTAGTTTCATATATCATTTTGACAAGCGAATAACCATGGTCTTTATCTTCTTAGGTTAGCTATTTTTAAATCGGAAAATCATTTGACTTCTTTTATCAAAAGAAGAAAAAAAAGTTATGTTCGAGAATTATTTCTTCCTCTTCAAGCCAGTTCTAATTTAGAACTAGAATTTCCTCTATATAAATAAAAATAATAGTGACCCACCAAACTACTTTACATCCTTCCCAGGGATCATGATATAGTAAACGAAAGAAATGGGAAAAATTGTTAATTTTCTTGATACTTTATAATTTTTTTCAATCATTTAAAGAATAATAAAATCATTATAATTGTTTCGACTACACATGAGGTTATTTTGAAATTTCAAAGAAAGTCTTCTCTGTTTCCAGCGAAACGTGAATACAGAGAGCATTCTGTATGTTTCTCTTTGCCCATCAAAATTTTCCCATTTGCCATTCCTTTTATCATTTTCCCCATGTCGGCTACTACCGTTGATATGTTTATCTTCTTTCTGTTATTTGTTTTATTTTTAACGATTCTATATTTCTTTCACGGCTGACGGATTTTAAGGCTCGGGTTTTGTTGTTTCCATATTTTTTCCTCGAATCAGCAAAAAGGATTTTTAATCTTCTGTAACCGGAAAACAATTTATGATTAATCGCGGTTTCTTATTTACGAGCGAAAGATTACATAGAAAATGAGAATCATTATGGAGAAATTTTTTAATAGCTATTCGATAACATTAAATAAATAAAACCATCTTAAAATATGAGTAAATACTAATTTAATTAAAAAATTGTTACTGATATAATATTATTTGATCTAATTTTTCTATTATTTAATCTAAATTAAATTTAATAAATAATTGTATTCTGTAAAAAATCCAGTGTTAAATCTACTCAAATTATTGAATTATATTTAGTTTAATTTTTTTTATTCAAACATTTAATTGTTAATTAACTGAATCAAAGAAAATAACATATCTAATTTAATCTAATTTAAACATTCTCTAAACCTATTCTTAGAATTCCAATTTCAGATATTGAGGATAATTCCATGACAGTTAAGCATCACTCTAATTCTATATGTACAATATTTACATACATACATATTTGCTTTAACTTCCATCGTTTTGGACATCAATTCTTAGAAATAGAACCTCGAAGTAAACAAAGTAAAATGTGCTAAATGAGATAAACTGCTGAACAAAATTTGACACCGATACTTTGTTTACTTTATTCTTTTATTCTCTTTCTTTCGCTCAAGTTGAATCCGCACAAGTCATTTGCCCAGTTCAAACTGCGAATGCTAAAGCGGGCACTATTATAATTCTGTTTTACGTATATATAAATTCATCAAACAAACAAATGTCAGCAAACAGAAACGTCAACGAAATAAACATGGGCGAACAAACGTGGATAGCACGTACAAACGATCGTGAAACGATTTCCTCGGTTATTGGTACATCAAACCAAAATATTCACGATCATATAATAAGGATGAAACGTACAGACTTCTGTGCTTAGCGATAGGGAAACCAGACTTGTGGAATCAGGAATCAACAAACAATGTCGAATCGGATCTTGCTCCCTGTGCATTCGTTCATCTTTACTACTATTCATTTATGTTAATTTGGATTGGTTCGAGTTTCCATGTCTGCTCATTCGTCAGGTATAGGTTATAAAGAGGAATCGGTGTTAACAGGCAACCAGTGAATGAACGATTCACAATAAAATTTGGCAACGATACAACTGGCCATCTGCTCTATGCATTCTAAATGGCCAATCTATACAACTGTCTTGCTATTCTTTAAAGTTATTTTGTTCCATACTTCTGTCAACAATTCTACTTGTTTCTTCTTAAAAAATTATGTAGAGTGAATTATTATATAATTATTATATAATAATTATATTAATATATTATATAATGTAATTTGATTAAAGAGAATATATTCATTGGTAGAATGATGAAAAATATTCATTTTTGATAATCATTAATTTCATCTGTTGAAAATCAATACAATTTTTTTTAAAAATATTCATTATGTAATGAATAGAAGTTTTTGTTTGGAAGATTTTATTTTGAAGACAGCTTTTTGGGTCATTTATTTATATTAATTTTAATAAAGTCTAATAATAACTTTCTTTTCTTGTTTTCATTTGTGGCTTGCAAAAAAAAAAAATAAAAACAATAGACTTATGATACTGTATATTATAAATTATTCTTCATATATTGTACATAAAAAAAAACCTTAATCTCAAAGAAGGCAAACATACGACTGAAAAGAAAAAAGAAAAAAAAAAAGAAAAAGTGGAAGAACAAGAGAGAGAAGAGAGTTTATGTTACAAACTTAACTACATTAGAGTAGCTTGACGAATTTATAGTGGCATTCTGGTTTATGTCATTTATTCGTGGTATATCTCTAATGGGGATTGCAACTCGACTTCTTCTGGAACGACATTAAAGCGTGAAACTTCAAAAAGGAGCTAATTTACTCTTTAGTGTTCGTCGAGAAACTCATCGCCAGTATTTCGCATTTATTTTTGGTAGCATAAAAAAGAATGAAGTTGCCAGTTCCATAGTCAAAACATGAAATATATATCTTATATATTTATAACATTATCATTGAATAATATTTTAAATTGAGGATTAACAATATTATAATTTTATATATATATTTATTAATTTTATTTATTAATTATGTATATTTAATTTTTTTTAATATTTTTTTTATTTGTATAAATTGAAATTTATATATATAAAATATATAGAAAATATATATGTGACTACTCGAGAATTTTTGTCAATTTTTGTACGCAACAGAAATTCTGCTATCTAACTGAAACTTAACCTGATTATCAAACGAAAATTGCTATAACTCATCAAGATAATCATATGAAAATGATCCTGATGAGAATTATAAATGATATTCACTTTAATTTATCTAATCGATAGCAAATTATCAATCATTAGCATGACTGTATTTTAAATTGAATAAATAAATAGAATTAAATAAATAAAATTTCGAATTTAGATCGACAAATATAAATACATTGCATAATTCATTGATTTAGTATTGTTTTATTAATTAGAAATGTTGTTTTCTGTTACATCTAAAACAAATATTTTTATTGTACAAAATAATTTAAAATCTCAAATGAATTACCAATTGTTTTGCATTGGTAATTTTCATTTTTTTTTACACATATAATTATATATCACTTGATTTTTTTTAGCTATATTACATGTTATTCAAAAATTTGTCAAAAATAATTCTCCGCTCCTCGATAGATTATCATTGTATTTAATTACACTTTCTTCCGCCTAGTGGCGCTGTTACCTCATTCAATTCTGAATCGATAATGTCACATGTGATACGAGAATGATAATAGAAATTATGTATCCTTCGAACTGACATAAAAATACATTAAATGAATAATGATTCTATTCTATTCTATTCTATTCTATTCTAATACATAATCTGTGAAAAGGATAAAAATCTTTTTTAAGAATTTTCATAATCTTTTATAGTATAACTTATATGAAATGTAATAAAATGTCCTAAAATGAACTTCGAAAACAATAATAAAATAAAATTTATAAAAATAAAATGTGATTTGTCACGTATCAATAAAATCATCGAGAAAAAATATCACTCACCGACCACATTCAGCAGAGCGAGAACTTCACAAAGGTAGTACCTGTAAGCCCACCAATTGTGAAACCGAAGATTCTCCCATAAATAGTCGAGTAACATCTTCTTCTTCTGCTTCTTCTCGACTTCGGAACAAAGGCCGATGTCGAGATCCATCATCAACGCATGGATCTTGCCACCCTCCCAGCCTTTCCATAACCATCGAGGCGTATAGAAGAGGATTGCCTGGAAAAAAAATAGTCGTACGTTTTAATTTTGCTGTGCAATGTAAAACATTTTCAAATATATCTTATTGTTTCGATAACGAATAAAGCAATATCAATATCTTAATGAAATATCTCGTCGATAAAATATCTTTTTTAATAAATGTCATTTATTAAAAAAAATAATTAAAATTTAAATTCAATGATACATACGAGTTTGGAATATAAAAAAAAATGAAAATGAAATTGTAACTTTTCTTTTTTTCATATTGGATACCAAAATTTAAAAAATTTTCTAGAGAATTTTTTAATTTTAATAATTTCATTAAAGTTGAATATGTTATTTAAAAGTAATTTTGTCTAGTTAAATTTCATTTATTATCCTATTTGTCAAATCTACCAGAATAATTGTCATCTTGCCAAAAACTTAAATAATTCTATCGTTATAACGCACGGAATTAGCAAACTATACGAGATCAGTGATCTCGATCGATAGATCATCAACACTGTTCTCAGACTCTTGGCACGTGCCTAAAGATATCAAATTAGCTATGGATTTCGTTAGAAACGATAAAATCGCAATAAATGGGGGCATTGTTTTCAGCAAGCGAATTGATTAATTGTTATTGATCAAGAACGATTCATTTGCTTAACGAACTTATACATTGTAGAGATGACTAAGCGGAGAAATTTTATTACGAGAACCATTAAGTTAAATTCGAAATGTTAAGATTAAAGTGGATTCATTTTATGTATATACATATAAAAATAGAAGTAACAAAGCAAAAAATAAAACTCTAACCTTTAAATATATGTTTCCAATGTGTACACGTAGATTGTTAAACTTTAAAAATATTCTAGAAAAATTTTAATATGCCAGAAACTCTGACAAATTAACTTTCATTTGTTATAATATATCATGCTTATATAATCTTTCAGATTTGCACAAACATATGGTACGATGAATAATTTTTCATTTGTCACAAAATAGTAAAACTAAACCAACCTAACCTAATTTGGAACTGTTAGATATTTTTTTAATTTCTAATTGGAAACAATTTTCTTATGTTTACTATAAAAACATATCGATTGATTAAAAATATCAATCAACAAACTTTTTTTTTCAAAATTATAAATCGAAGCTTCGAAAGAAAAAAAAGAACGTAACTATAGGGCGGTGAAAAGAGTCATTCTGTTTTTGCGTTGTATATTGAACGCGAATCCAATACAAAAAGAAAAAAACCATGGATGGAAATAGAACGAAGCTAACTATACTTCACCGGTGCTCACGTGCCAGTTGGGTGCATGCACTGTTCGGAAGAAAAAAATGAAGAACAGCAACGCCACGTGGGAGCAGGCGGTAAATGGATAAAATTGGCCAAACAAGCGGAAAACCCGGTGGAACGGTTGGAACACGTGACAGTTCTTCTTGTCTCATTTCGTCCAGCATTTAACCATTTGAACGCGACAGAGAAAAATAGAAATGGAACGATACATTGCAAACAAGGGAAATGGAGATTTTTAATGAATATGAGCATTAACTCGTGAAATCAATTATTTAATCCTTATAATGAATAGAGAAAAAAATTTAAATTATTATAAATATATTTTCTTTCAAAAATTTTAATTTTATTTTAATTTCAAAAAAAATTTTTTTTAACTTTTTTTATTTTATTAGAATATAGTTTAATGAACATAATAATATAGATTACAGCATGAAAAATTATATCCGTTATAAATGATTTTTTTTATCTGAAAAAGAAAGATTAAATAGGATCATCAAATACTAAAACTCAAGATTGATGATTCATAAAAGAACAACGATGCTATTTCTGATCGTTCCCTCGTGAATGAGATCTATTTCCAAGAACTGTTCTAATTACGCATAACCTTCCGACGAAGAGATTTTCCCATGTTCTGCGTTAAAACGATCACATCGAACGCAGTTATTATTCTGCTTAAATAAAAACTAGTTGAAGGACTCTAAGACCCAACCTTGACTTATAAGTATGATTATAATCTGCTAGAATCGATAATTAGAAATATTTGCTTTTTATTTAAATGACTAATTTAATTATAAGAATGTCACACTTTTAATTTTATTTTTATTAATGAAAAAAAACTAATATTAATAAAAATTTATACCACTTTAAAAGACACTTTCAATGATAAGAAAAATCTTTATTTTAATATTAAAATTTATTTACTTTTCAAGAATCGAATAATCTTTAATAATAAATTATCATAACGAATAAGATTTATTCATGAGAATTTAAGAACAGAATTTATGACAAAAATTTTTCAATATAAAATAATACTCCTTTAAAGAAACCCAATTAAAATTCAACTTCCAATATTGTTCAATTTCAAATATCTACTTCAAATAACGAAATAATTTTCTCATACTTGCACTAGTAGGAAAAAGATGACCCACTGATAGTACTTGTGCTGTTTGACCAACGGATGCGATACGTGTCCGTGTATTCCATCACCTTTGCTGTTCGACACACCAGGATACGGCACTGCCTGGCCCAGACTCTTGTTAAACGCGTGCACCATGCTGTACGTGGTATGGAGCCAACAAAAAGTCTCCAACACGATCTTATCCACAGAACCGGACGCCTCGCAATGAATCGGTGAACCGGAAATACTTTTGCAGGCCAATGTGACGCATCCACCGAGGAGTAGCGCCACTGTTGCGCGATAATGCAGCCGAAATGTCATCGTGTCGACAGAGATCTTTTGAATTTTGAACAGAGATCTCAACGAGCCGAACACGTCGATCATTTTCAGCAACAGAGGCATCTTTGTACGTCGTATACGGCGAACTGCTTTCGAGATCACGGAAGTATCTTTCTCGAGAAGACAGTCGCTCTCTTCGTTTAGCTGATCCGTTTTTACGAATAGTTATTGGACGTGATAATAATGGAGGTTGTTGTTATGGATGGAGAATTGGTCGATTTGAAATTGAGGTTAGTTTGATCGTTGAGAAATTATTTATTAAATTGAAAATTGAAGAAAGAATTATATTGAAGTTTATTCTTCAGGAATTATCAAAATTGAAAAAGTTAGGTTAGGTTAGAGAAAATAGAAAAATTAGATATTATAAAATTAATAACTGAGGAATTATTAAAGTTGATAAAAATATTAATGGAATTGAAATTGATGGTTGAGGAATTATCGAGGCTGATGGAATTAATTGAATTGATAAAAATATTTAGAAAAATTAATTGAATATTGAAAAATCCTTTTTCATAGGTGAATGTGTAAAAATGAGGTGAGATTTGGAGTTGAATAAAGTTTATCACTGGATTTTAATTTTAAATTAAAGTTTATCACTGAGAAATTGAAATGTTTAGTTGAAAATTGTCAAAAATAAAAATTGTTATTAAAAATCGATTTAAAAAATCGAAAGTTGTCGAAAATTAAGCGTTGAAAAATTATAAAAATTATTGGAAATTATTAAAATTGGTATAAATTCCAATTCCAATTTTATTTTTTTTGTAAGTAGTGCTGATATGAATGTTCACGATGTTCAGTGTTTACGAAATTTCTTCGGATTTCGTGTATCACAGAATTCTCAATTTATCACTGATCTAATGGTGTTGAAAACTTCTTTTGTATATTTCGAAAGACTTTCGCGGAAGAAATATCAAAAAATCAGAGAGAAATAATATTCATTATTGTAAATCTGTTTTCCCCGTCATGTTCTTCGTGATTATCCTCGCAAAATTCCGACCAATTGAATTTTTGCGATCGAATCGAGAACAGCTTCACTACGTGCATTTTGCTTGCTCTCCGCTTTTCTATCTTTCGAATATTAATTTACTCCACCAATATTTTTTATTTTTATACAAAAATATCTCATTTTCCATTTTTTACCTCACTCCTTTCAATATTTCTATCTCTATCTACAAACTTTTTAAAATTCATTGTTAAAAGATTGAATAAATCAACAATCTCTTGGAAAATTTCTTTCTTCAATCTCCAAACATTTTAACTCCAATAACTTGTTGAAGAAGAAATCTTGAGATTATCAGATTCACACGCGGTTTTTATAAAAAAAAAAAGGTTTTTCTTTTCTTTATGGACACATGAATTGATTAAACACACAGCATCGTTTTTTCTTTTACTACTTTTTTTTTTTTTTTATTTTGATAAAGAAGTGAATGAAGTAGAAGAAGAGGATGAAACGACTATTCGGACACGGTGAGACACGTGGGGCACGGAAGCAAGCCGTTAGAAGACTGGTCGAACTTGAGAGGCATCCCTTGGCCTCGATGCTAAACACATAACTTATATGATCTTCTAAGTATCTTTCTCTTGTCATGACAATGAAATGTACGTATTCATATTATTTATCAATTAATTATAAATAGTTTTTATTTTATTATTGGTTTTTATAATGAAATTTTCATAATACTTTATTTATTATTATACTTGTTCACTTATTAAAGTATTTGTAAGTGGATCTAAACACATTTGCGTTTAAATAACATTATTCAAATATGGAACAAACAACTTTTAATTTCATTCTAAAATACATAGACATTTATATATCACAATATTTTCATAAGTTATTTACACAAATTATTAAATCACAAAATTAGAGGAAAAAAATTTTAAATTTTGAAAATTCAAAATTTTTCGAATTTCGACATTCTTTTTTAAATTTTTAGAATGTTCTTAGTTACCCCTAGAAATTTTTAGTGATCCCTAGTTCTTTCCTTACAGCGATACAATTCATTCAAAATTGTTTTCCCTAAAAATTTTTGATTTCATCATCGTTAGAGCAAGTGTGTAACACATGCAAACGCAAAATATTTGCAAAAGTAGGTTAGAAAGAAAACAAACAAATAAATTAAGATCACCAAAGACCTACAGTCTTGAGAAAAAGAGAACACCGATAATTTTCACCGATATGACGTAGTAGGTTAAGGAAAAAATAAAAATTCTTGATGAGGTTATGATATCTTGTTGAATAATATATCGCGATTATTAAGAACTGGCTTTCTGCCAACGATACTTGTCATCGAAAGAAAAACGGACACTGAGAATCAAGGGAGTAAAAAGGAGACGAAACATTCGGGTCATTGTCGCTCTATAATTAGATCCAAGGGTCTACATTACTTTGGTTGGATCATATTCGAATAGTACTGGAGGCAATTATAATTATCTCGAAGAACGTTTGGATATGTTACATATTCAGTTAATTATGGAACTATGTATGAATCAACAAAGAGATTTTGGGTTATTATACGGATCACTAAGTTGAATTTAAATATCTTGTTTAATCAACTCTTATTAATCAACTGTGATGTAAGAAAATGTAATGTTTTAAATTTTTTATTATTTCTTAAATACATTATTATATATTTTATGTGAAGAAAAAATTAAAAAAAAAATTAAGTTAGATTAGATTTGATTAGTACTTATATGATCAATCATTTATGAACTATTTATGAAAAAGATATTTTTAAATTTTTTTTAAATTATTAGATTATTGTATCTTTTTTAAAAAATTTAAGAGAATCAAATTCGAATTCTAAATAAACGTGTATATTATTTATTCGCATTATGCGAATTTATTATCATAATTTATTTTCTTCATATGCATTATAAAATAAAATCGTATTTCGGTGTTCACTGTTACTTCATCGTAACAGATACTTGCCACATTCGCCGATGATTGCAATCATACAAAGCTATGTAAATAACTTCCATGGGTTTTAGTTTACATAGCAATAACCTCAAGCATATCTAGTTTTGTTTGTAAACATTTTGTGTTTGGCTTCGAAAATTAGTCAGACGTATGCTACAAATTTTCCATTTTTAGAAATGTTATTTGTATTGTCCATTTTTTTTAAATTATTTTAAGAATGTTTGATGACCAATAATGAATGTTTGAACCATTGATAGCTATTGTAAAATATTTTACAATAGTTTTTGCTTAATAATGCTAAATTGCAATCTTTTATTTTGTTAAACTATGTAATATATTCATTTCGTAGAAATAATCTCATTCGCAATGAATGTCCAATATCCAATATTCTGATTTATTTATGCAAATGGCGACATATTCATTTTTTTTTTCAATATTAAAATAAGAATATAGTTTAAAATCAAAAAATGTTTGTTCAAAAATCATAGAAATGATGCTTGCGAAACATTAAAATACACACATCACTAATATTTATATCTGTATACTTTTTTGTCAAACCTAACTATCTAACCTAAACTAATCTAACCTTATTATAAAGAAAAGTATTTGATAACTAATAATAGCACAAAAAGAAGAATTTTACTTTTATATTTTAATCTTTAATGTAAATAATATTAAAAAATAAATATATTAAAAAAAAAATTAACAATCTTTTTTCAATGGATCTTATTTTTTTAAATTTACAAAAAAAAAGGAAATCGCATGGCCAACCGTCTATTCTAACGATCGATATTGAATCAAGTCTATCTAATTCCGTTTAACAACATGTTCTAGTTGAAGAGATCAGTTGAAAGGTGACGGTGGAGAAACGTCTTTGACCAAACGTCAAGGCGACTCTCGCGATAGCGACCCTCGGTGACGAAGTATAACGGCTAAAAGTTTAACGAGTTAATATGCTTAGGGTTTCCTTCTTGGCAATGAACTAGATATAAGCTTCTGTAAGCACCGAGTAAATTCCTCGGCCGTAGCCGCAACCAGTTCGCTCGTTATCCGGATCGGCTTTTCTTATTGCCAAATCTTTTTCGATGCGATTATGTGTAAACGAATTAGAATTCAAGCAGAATTAAGCACGAAGATATTCAACCTAAGTTGCGAATCTCACTGAAAAAGTATAATAGTGGGAGAAAGTTTACTCGAGAGTGGGAGAAAGTAATAGTGGGGGAAATAAAGATGGAGGAACAAGGAGTGACTGGTGTTATATTGCATCATACAACAGAGCACTCGCCATTTGTTCTTCCACCATCATTTTTCCCATTACTATTTTCTCCTCGCTCTTTCCATAGCGAGATCTTTTCAGGAAATCTTGTGTTCAAATCGATATCACGTAATGTATGAAGTAAAATGTGTAAGATATGCCAAGTAACATCGATATTTCTTGTTTGTTGATATGTGATTTGTGATCGATTGTGTTTCTATAGAAAAGTATGTAAAATGTTTCGACTTTGGTTTACGAAATTCAAGTCTGATAATAAAATTCTTTTTTCTCGTTAGAAAGAATAACAAGTATAATTTAACAAATATTGAAATATTATTAAAAATAGTCTAAACAGCAAGATGAATAACGTCTCGACTAATATTAAGCCGTTCTACTATTATTCGTTATTTCAACAGGAAAAATAAAGAATATGGACAAATGGGTTTTGCACCAGTTATATACAAAAGCTTCGACGGTTAGGAAATCGACACCTTGTTACTCGAAAGAAATAAACAGGATTCCCTTTTAAAATTGATCGTTACTTATGAATGAAAAATGGATCTCATATATTATTATTGATTCAAAAATGTTGAATCATTTTTTTGTTCTTTTTTTCATATAATTTCGTTATTAATTTAAAATTATCGTTACAGATATCAATCGTAATTTCGTTCAGTTCGATATTAAACAAGATATAAAATAAAATTCACAAACATGAAACAATAAATACCAATCGATCGATTACCTGGAGAAACAGCATGAAGCAGACCCATTGATAGTACCTGTACTCCTTCCTCTCCGCCTCTGGATGCGATTTGGAATTATCCACTCCAGGGAACGGTACTTCGAATCCTTCCCGTTTTCTATAAGCCGCTGTGATCGTGTACGTACTATGGATCCAGCAATACGTATTCAGCACGTCCTCCGGTAAATCCTTGCTATGGATACAATCGATCGGATTGCCAACGTATTGTCTCGTAGTGACGATCAACGAAAATGAGATCAAGAGGATCACGGTAAAACTGTAATGCAACCGAAA